TAATGGAACAAGTGTGGCGGAGTCTTCGAAGTGGGCGGGGCTTAGATCAAAAATTTATAACCCTATTCAGAAACGTTCTGGGATGCGGCAAAAAGGTGTCAAGGTGTAAACAAATGTGAGAAGAAACGAGCGTGATGCTATCAGCAGTTCAGCGTTCGAATCTAGAGGAAAATATCTTATTCTGATTATCCAACATTCCGCTGAATGACTCCATCGTGGATAAGTGGTCGTCGACATATACTGCGCACGTTAGCGTGCATAGCCAAACTGGTACAGTATATAACGTTGTAAAGCAATTGGAGTGAATGCTAACGATAATGCTTGGCAAGCATCCCAAACATCAAAAATCAAAATATCATATAGCACAATAGTATCAACGTGAAAGGGATATGTAGTTCTCAAGGAAAGGGTTCTGTAGAAATTCTAAGTTTTCCGGCACATGACGAGCATTGGCTCTCACACAAGCGTCACACCTTCCACGCTTTGAGCTACGGCTTTATTAGTGAATAAATATGACCATATAAATTGCGGTGCGTACCTTAAGTGGCCACCTAAAATCACCATAACTCCAAGCGAAGAATCGTTTGGTAAGTACGAAATGCAGAGCTGAGATCAGCATATGAAACCACGTGTAACGATACAAGTCACATTCCATGTGACCACTTCGATTTGGGATCTTTCCTTGGTTAGTTACTGTCGCATTCTCTTGTCCTTTCACCACCTTATGCTAGGGAAATTCTTGGAATTCTTTTCAGGTATTTCTCAGGATTACTGAAAATACTGATCCGAAAGATATGATTGATTTTGCTGATAGGAGTATAAGTCGCGATGAAGAGTTGATTCAAGCACAGCGAGGTGAGGTCGTGATCTCCGGCCGTAGCATGAAGACTTATGCATTCCATCACTTTCGTTCTCTAGTTTCTGATCATATCAACTATTGACTCGAAAATAAAGAAACTTATGCTTTATATTTCCGGGCAAATCCCTCATAGTTCTTTTTGTTTGGACCTATCTCACTGATGATGTGTGGCTAGGTGAATATTTTTCAGTGGCTCGCCATAAATGCTGTGGGCTTGTGTTCGCCCAATTATGTGCCCTTTTCACAAAGAGGTTTCTTTGCTTCATTCGAGACTGGACGCAATTGTTTGGTCAGGTGTTCGTTCCTCTGGCGCTTTTGATTGCGATCGCTTACATCTCAAGAAATATGGGGAAGATGTATGGCAGGAAAGGTAAGTTATAAAAACTACCTGCGTCGATGTTTGAATTTGTTTCCATTTTTTAATGTGTTTTCTTGTCTTTTTTCTGGAATAGTCCAATATGTTGTAAGTGTCAAGTGAAGTGGGCGTATGGTTCGGGGATGTGATCCCGTATCAAAAACTTGCCTGGACCTTTGTCCAATATGGTGGGAAAACCGGAAACGATATTTATTGACGACAAGGGATTCAGCCTTTATTTAACCATCCATTTGATATTACTATTATTATTATCATATTTTATAGAATCGGCACGGATGTTATCTGTAGCGAAGTTTGGTCCGTCCCGGATTCCTGTGAAGGTAGTACATAGGTCTCCATTGGTAAACGCATATATCGATATTGTATCAAAAGGACCAGAAGCTAAGGTATATATTCTCGTTCATCTGTGCCTCTTTGTCTGAATTTCAATGTTTCCATCACTGAGTTACGTTCAGGTCTATGAGCTTGGCCCTAATGACAACTTGACCACCTGGGTAGGTCACCTGCCAAGAGAACTCCCAGCTCCTGGATTTGGCGCGATATTCGCCCAGGACGCCGTCGACGTGCTCTTTAATCTGGAAGCTTATCACTCATCGCCTATTTCATTAAATGCGTACGACAATGCGCGATTGAAAGTTGAAACGAATGGTGAGCACAATCAGAAATAGTTTGCAATTACCCTGAATGGCAAGTGTTACGACGCTGCCTTTCTTCGGAGTCTCGATGTTTCCNAAAAAAATCCCATATTCGAATTCAGTTAACGAAGTTATGCGATTGGTGTTGTCATCCAGGAACAGTGCTTTTCAGCATCCGACAGAATAATCAGTACCTACTTGCACGCTTATTTGCCTGACAGTTTGGCAGGCGAAGTCTCAGCGTTCCGGCCTCTTGTTAGTTAAGCAGATGTGGAGAAAGCGCTGGGACAATTCTTGGTTCTAGCACTGACGTTCGTCACATCACCTTTTGTTGTTTTCTTAGTCAAAGAGCGCGTTAGCAAGTTTGCGCACCAGGTCCGTTCATTGTGTTTAAAAGTTCTTTTTTGGCTCGATTAGGGGGACCCCAGATACTCCAAATGCCCTGCTGTGATCGACCATTCTCTTGAGATCGGCCTTAGGATTTCAGCAATCCTTGACGGGCATATCTCCAGTCTTATTCTGGGCATCCTCGTTCCTTTTCGATTTCCTCTGCTACTCCATTGTTTGCGCATGTTTCTTGTCTGTGTTTATAATATGTGGTTGGATGGAAAGGTACCTCGGATTGTGAGTTCAATTTTTTGGCATTTCTCTATCACCAGCGTTGCTGTCCGCTCAGCTGTTAAGCAAAAAAGAAAGAAGAGAAAATAAGATTTTCTCGTTTTTGTTTCAGCGTGATTCTGCTGTTCGCTCTATACTTTTGGTCATGTGTGCCATTTATTTACGCCGTGTCCTTCATATTTTCATCGCCATCGAAGGCAAACGTCTTTCTTATTTTTTGGCGGTTCGTGGCTGCTTACGTTGCTATGAATTCTGAGATACAGTCACGAGTCAATGAAAAAATCATGGTAATTGAATATGTCATTTCTTATTTCTTTTACTGATTATGCAACTCCTAAAATCAAACTACCATGGCAGCTTAATAAAATAACGCCTGATTCCATATGCTAGGTTAAAGGTACTCACTGTGCCGACGTCACCTTTGTAGCGCAAAGACGCGGTGGANTTAGAAATGGATTCGCTTTCGAGCCTTCCCACGTTCGCGGTGGGCTTCGCTGTTCAGTAATTAGTCAACTGCTACTGTGTTGATTGCTGATGTTTCAGAACAACTTGTTTTCCATGGAGTGTTCGCTTGATCCTACTGTATATGACGCGCTAAGGGGATGTGTTATCAGTTTAAAGGTTCATGACTCCCATAACTGAGCACGTAGCGGGACGTGAGTTCAGGTGCAGTGTGTAGATACATGTTTCATTCTTTGTATAATAAGTTACATTTTACGGAGGGATCAAGGAAAAGCCGGGCAAGTCGGCCAGCACGAGGATACGACAGCGTGCATGCTTGTGTATGTATGTACCAGGTGGCTACGCACGCTATCGCGTGCGGTAGGGGCTCTAGCCATGAGGGACGGAGCCACAGGAGCTGATTTTCATGATAGACCTTTATTGGCTCGCCTGGCTGACGCGGGGTTCAGCTCCTTCCCGTGTTAGAATGGCCACCCCGCCTGCACCACCCAAATTTGAGCGCTCTAGGCTCACTGAAACAGGAGCTATAAATTTCATTCGACTCCGCCCACAGCGAGGTCACTGGCGCCACGAGGACCGGCCCTGCCGCCCAGCACAAGTGTTCCCATCGTGCCGCCTGCACTCCTACCAAATTTGAACGCTCTAGGTCCAAATTTAAGTTATTCAGCAAACTCCACCCTTGTGGGCGGAATCTGGCCCTGCCGCCCACCATAAGTGTCCCCATCCTGTAGCCTATACTCTTTCCAACTTTGAACTTTCTAGGTCCACGGGGACAGGAGTGGTGATTTTCCAAAATGTTCTCTTAAGCATTACATTTTTGGAGAACGCCCCGCCCGTCGGGGGTGGGTCTCCCTAGTTCGATCTGACTTACCGATATACACCTCTAGGCACCTTCACACCCCCGTTTTTATGCCATCTTGTGACTGAATTTGAATGGTGGTGGTCCTAAGTACAGCTCATCTCGATGCACGCCACGCCCACTGTGAGCAGGGCTCCGCCAAGCTGATGTGTGCTTTATACTTCTCGGAACATAGTCCATCCATCTCACGCTTGACCCGGTCTCTCCAGGCACATCTAAAGGAGCTGAAAATTTCGTGACAGACGACAGACAGACGAAGCGCTTTCCTTACTATATATAATCCGCAAGTTTGGTGTATCTGTATGTATATATGTATGTATGTATGTATGTATGCTTACTTGTTTGTTTGTATGTATGTTTGTATGCTCAACGGGAAATTCAATATCACCTGAAAAACGCCATCAGAGGTCGGGGCAAGTTGGGGATGGGTGGGGCCTAAGATAAGATCAACAGAGCACACAAGAGCTCACAGGAGGCGGGGCAAGTGCCGGAATGGGCCGGACGAATAGCCATACGTCTTATTATGGCTTCGAAAAAGGTCCAGACATCGGGAATAGTAAGTAGGATGTGTATGATGGGAAATTCACACCTACTCTGCCCGTGGACCGAGAACGCTCAAATTCGGTACATGTACAGACGGAAGGACTAAAGCATTGATGGTAGATGGCAGGAAGTGATTGAATCACTGGCTGGGCCCGCCAGCATAGAGTGTAAGTGGAAGGGGGTCGGAGGGGATGTAAGGGGCGGGGCATGCTTGAAATGAGCGTAATCTTATAAAAATACGCAGTTAAGTTAGACGAAGTTTAGAATGCATTAAGTTGGGCCAGTGCATAAAAAGGGCCTCTCTCTACACGAGCAGCAATTCGCTCGTGTAGAGATAGGCGCGCATGAAGTGTGATGTGTGCGTTTCGCTGGAGATTAATAACACTTGTTCTCTTGGAGCGTCTGAATTTGTGAAAAAAGTAGGAGGCGGGTCAACTTTATCACAACTAAATGAATAGTCGGCTTGAAATGAGCATTCCGATCTGAATGGTTTTGTGTGGAGAAAACTTGAGACGCTGTCTTTTGATCAAGCCGTGCCTTGGAATGTAAAACTCTGGTCAATTACAATATCAGATTTAATGCCATAGCGCCTAATAGCTGAAGACGCCGGACTAATAGGCTGAACTAGGCTTCGAACTGCTTTCTGAAATCGGCTTGTCGTGATTAAAAGAAATTGGTGGTATCGGTCACAACACGTCGAAATTCTGCGTCGCGGAAAAGGTAGAAACATGGCCATCGAACTAAGGATTTTGGCATCTTGTCATAGACCAGACGGTGCTTGCTATATATACATTCATATACATTCATTTATAGACATTACTTCTATGTTTGCTGCCCTCCTTTGCACTCGGCAGTGCTATGTTACTGGTGGGGATAGTATCAGCTGAGAAGTTATCACCGAACATTCTGTGGGAATGGTATGTGCTAGGTGAGCGCTTCTCATGCTGCTTGATTTTGATATTTTGAATATTAATTCGAATAGAATAAGCAAGTTTCCCGGTTCCAATGCTAATCTTTTTCGCGTTAAATGTCGATCACGCTTATTCAGGTAGAATTATAACGCTTATGCTGATATTCGGCTGCTTCTCCTGGTTGCTTTTTCTGGCTTTTCAATTCAAAATTGTTCGATATTGTTTCTTCCTACTCTGGAATTCGCGATATCGACGTAGAAGTGATAGCAGTGTACGCATTTCTTTGATCTGTTTTTTCAATGTGCCAAACGTTTCAAGTCGCATTGTCACTTGCTGATGTCAGGTAACCCATGAAGATGATGAAACAGCAGAGGGCGAAGAGCGAGTTGACGTAGAGCAATGTGATGACGATTTGCACTGGAAGTGAAGGTGAGCACCATCTTTGGAGCGTCATAGCATCGTCTTTGATCCAGTACAACCGCAGGATTTGTGCAAAATGTATGGGGATTTGAGAGCCGTTTATGGTTTGATTTTGAGTGTACGGAACAGCGAATGCTTTGGACTGCTCGGTGCAAACGGCGCTGGAAAGACAACTACTTTCGATATACTCACAGGACAATCATTTGCAACCTCTGGAACCGCTCGTATCGGCGAACAGGACGTGACGAAACAGCTTGTGAGTCAAACTCTCCTGCTCCCTGTCGAGTAGTTCTTGATTCTTGGTACTATTCAATTGCATAACTGAGTTCAATCTAATCTTTTCAGTGTATCGGTTATTGTCCGCAATTCGACGCACTCCTTTCGGATCTGACTGGAAGGGAATCTCTAGAGGTATTCATTTGATTACAAAACCAGCGTTGATGATGATTTGTTCGTGACACATTTTAAATTCGTTTACAATCTTGTTTATAGTTTCGCTTATTTTTTTTTCAAACCACTGCTATATACAGGGTGCGGCAAAAGTTCTGGCAAATGCATGTTTCAGGTCTTCTATAAGTAATGAAGCCTTCCATTTCGACACAATCTGTGCAACTATTTCCTGCAAGTCTTCTCCTATACATTCCTTGAACTGGCCTTTCTTAAATATGCCATTTACAAAATGATGACAAGCAAATACCAACGAGCCTCCATTCTGCACCTCCATCTGGCTGGATGCACTGCAAAGAACATCTCCAAGCAGCTCCAGTTTCCCTTAAGAACCGTGTACAACAACATCAAAGATACAAGGCGGCAGGAACTATGAAGGACAAGCCTAGGAGTGGAAGACCGAAGAGTGCAACAACATGCAACAGATCGTGAAAATCATTCGCGAGAATCGTCGCCACCTTCGTAGAAGAGAAAAATGGCTCGTAAGGTGGGTATTTCTGCTCGATCTCTTGGAAGGATTGTCACCGGGAACCTTCGACTTCGCTCTTATTAGATCAGAAAAGCTCACCTGCTAACTGAGCGTATGAAGAAGTTTTTAAAGCAATTTACGCAAACGCGGCACGCCGACATCTTTTTTCACTGACGAATGTCTGTTTTCAACAGATCAATTCCTGAACACCCAAAACGATAGGATAATAGCGGGAAGCCCTGCAGAAGCCAGCCAACATGGAGAGATTGCTCAGCGATCTGGACACCCCATGTAGTTAATAGTTTTTGGGGCAATCACAACGGACGGCAAGAGGCCTCTGATTTTTTTGGAGAAAGGGGTCAAGGTGGATAACAAAACCCACTTAAAAAGCGTGTTGGAGAAGGAGATATCCCTTAGGGCAAAATCCCATTTCGGCAACCGGACATAGACTTATCAACGGGACTCAGCTCCAGCACACATGTCCAAGATGGTACAGGGCTGGTGCACAACGCACTTCTCAGACTTCATCACGTCGAACGATTGGCCTCCAAACAGTCCAGACCTGAATCCATTGGACTACTCCGTTTGGTCAGTTTTTAAGAGGAAAGCCTGCTCTACCCAGCACAGGAGTTTGGATGCTCTACGTGCAACCCTTGTTAAAGCATGGGAGGATTTGGAAGAAGACTACCTTCATGCCGCCGTCGACGCGTTTCCCACGAGACTTTCAGAATGCATTCGCGCAAAAGGAGGCATTTCGAAATCTAACTGTTTTTGTAACCTATATGACTGTTGATAAATGCCGCTGAAGATGTATCATGTATCGATCGATTTGATCATTTTGCAGGTATATTCACCGTTGCCAGGACTTTTGCCGCGCCCTGTATAATTCGCTAAGTGTATCTGTTGGTTTCTCGAAGGGTTTGTGTGTGTGTGTGTGTGTCGGTGTGTGTTTGATCGGAAAATTCTCTGTTCATGTGGACCTAGAAAAATCAAATTTGGTAGTAGTACAGGGGCAGGATGGGGGCACTTATGGGTGGTGGCAGCATTGGACTCCGTTCACAAGGGGGGGAGGGGGGCGGTGTGCGCGATGGAAATTTCGGGCTGCAAATTCATAACTCCTGTTTACGTGAACCTAGAGCTTTGAAATTTCGTAGGAATACAGAAGACAGGATGGAAACACTTATGATGGAGCCGCCTGCTCATGGGGGCGGGCGTGCGCGGTAGAAATTTTGGGCCGCAAATTCATAATCCCTGCCCCGAGGGCCTGAAGTGTTAAAATTGGGTAGGATAACAGCTTATCGTATTAAGAGTGGAACCTCGGCTAGTAAGTGGTGTAGGATACGACGGGGGCGTAGGTACTCGGTGACAGGAACCCGATGATAACTGATAAAAGAAGTTAAGGGGTCTAAAAGAGCAAGTGCCTATCGATCAAAATCGTAACGCCTTCGGTATTTATGATACAGCTTTGACGGCTCGTTATGTTTCATTCGATAATACGGGATGGTAGAGTAGCGTGACAAAAGTGAGTGGTGAAAACAATGATAGGATCCCACTAATGGCACTACGATAAGTAGATGAGAATTTCGTTCATTTTTTACTATTAGATTACGACCGCTACCCAGCAAAGTTTGTGATTCAACGTACGATCCCCATTGTTCGATATCATTTGCGACGAAAATTGACCGAACGTCAGTTATTTGAATTTTCAGTTTATGATATCTCTGTAAAAAAAAGTCCATTGACAACCACATCTGATTATGGTGTTATCATCACTCGAACTATTTGTAAGTACCGCCCAAGGCTTTGTTTACCCAAAGGTTGAATCGTTATTGTGAGCAAAATGTCGAAGCTCCCAATTATATGCAAAGCACCGACTTACACTGAATACCATTCGCACTGCTCTGTTAGCCCGTGTCAAACTTCGAGAACGAGAAACGAATATTTGTTTCAGGAAGGTGTGGAGAATTAGCTCATTACTAAAAATTTGTCGAAGAAAGAAGCCCGGCATTAGCCGGGCGAACCGACTGGTAAATTATAGACGACGACTTTGTCTATTCAGTGGGGAAGAAAACGGATAGAAGTACTAAGACCTATTCAACACATAAGCGGAGACTGTTAAAACACAGTTCAGGATGATTTTGAGGTGTTCCTTTTTAGTGGAAAAGCGGAAGTATAGGTTGGAAATAGTTCATCGGTAGTGAGGGAAGCAAGAAAAGTCGTCGATTCCGAGGGAAATAAGGCTCCTCAAAAGTAGTGGAAATAGAGGCTGGACGAGATAACAGTTACTGAAATAACATGGAAGGGATATTCGGACGAGATTTCAGTTTTTGCTGTTGCACAAAGAGCTGGCTATATCGAGCCAAAACTGTCCAGAAATGCTTTTCGCTGTCGCTATGGGTCATGGCAAGTTGGTTGATTTTTTGACATGGGTTCCCTTGTGAACGGTGCACCCTGTACAATGCCGGTGAAACTAATTGGGGATACACACGGTACAATCTTTGAGCTTTTATAACGCCCTCAAACGCCGTTTCCCAACTGATAGCGCCAGATTTGATATACAAGGGGACCTCAGATACCTCGAATTCATCCTATAAGGCAATCTCAGAAACAATTTTCATCGTGAACTGAACCTTTAAGTTCACACTAGGAAACCCTGAAGAGTATAGGCTCCTTTCCTCAATGGACTAGTCCAGCATAAACGCGGGTTCTCCCGGACCGACGGTACCGGAAATCCATCCTGCAGGAAAAACCTGTAAGAGTACGCTATAGCTCCGGCTTATACCTTAAAATTAAGGCTAGCTATCACAAACAACATGTTTAGCGCGGATATTTTGGAGGCAGGTAGAAACGGCCTCTTGGGAGCATACAAAGCCAATCGCACTCTTTAACGGCAACCCTACGAAAGGTATTGGGTTGGAGGGTGAGTCCTTCAACGATGCACATGTTCCTCCAGGAAAAAACCAAAGCCCTCTCCGAAACTTTTCAGGCATGATTGCTGTAGAGTGTTGCTGAAGGATTTCTAAAATGGACATAAAAGGGCTCGTGAAAAGGTTCCTCATGAACTACGCCTGTTTGACCATGAACAACGCCTGTCTGTCAAGACGAACAGGTTGTGTGTGGCTGAATCCCTCCTACTTCGTCCCCATCGAAAGGACTTATGAGACATAGTGACCGTAGATGAGAGCTGGGTGCTTTACGTAAACTACACACGTGAGTGTCACTGGGTTGCGCGAAAAGAAAAGCTACATATGGAGGCTATAGCAGACCTACAGGAGTAGAAGGTTTTATTGTGTTGCTGGTGTACTGCGGGTAAATGATCTACTGGAATCTGCTAGACAGTGGCACTACGGTGACGGGCACAGTCTACGCTACACAGTTGCAAAAAGTGGCCATAACGCGAGTGTTACCCTAGAGAAGACTCAAAGTCTCCCTACTTTACGATAACGCACGCCCGCATGTGGCCAACGAAAGTACTCGGACGGGAAGTACTGCCGCATCCGGCTCACTCATCGGACCTAGCGCCTTCTGTTTTCGACCTTTTCAAAGCACTGAAGTGCCATCTAAGCGACAACTCAAAACTTGAACTCAAAAATGAACACGATGGCACGTGACCTGGATAATAACGGTGGTTATATTGTGGATTGAGGGTCTTGTCTAGTGAAGAAATGTAAAATTCAAGAACTTGTCCGAAATGTTGCAAGACTTATCTCCCAACCTAATATATGCCATCCGGACCACTTATTATAAGGCAACACTACCCTATGGTCGAGAAGATAACTCTCTGCATTATCTAAATAATTTGTGCTATGAGCCTGCACAGGTGTGTCCTGGAAGACATGGTATATGTGGTCCTCGTTTATTGGTTTGCTGGTGGCCTCTCTGTCTACCAGTAGGTTGACGTGTAACAATATTGAATGTCTCTACGTTCTGGCTTCGATCAACCTCGGCATTGTTGTGAATTGATGTTGATTTTGCTCGAAACTCCCACGAGGTTGGTATAAAAACTTATTAGCTAGCGTTTCGGCAATACGCTTTCTTCAGAGCCTGAAAGTTGATCAAAAACAATTGTTGTTGTTTTTGATCCACTTCCAGGCTCTGAAGAAGGCGATATAATAATAATAATAATAATAATAATAATAATAATAATAGT